TAATCCTCACCTGATGATATGTTTTTATTGATTTTAGAGACAGAGGAAGGGAGGGAGAGAAAGAGAGAGACAAAGAGAGAGAAACACAGAGAGAGAAACATCAATGTGAGAGAGAAACACTGGTTTTTTAATATTCCGATAACTGTATTCCAAGGAAATTGGTTTCCTTTGGGCTCTTATGTATTGTATTTTTAAAACATCTTTATTGAGATATGATTCATATAAATACAACTCACCCATTTAAAGTATTGAGGTATACAATTTAATGGTTTTAATATACTCACAGAATTATGCAAGCAATTATGCACTACAATCCAAGTTTAGAACATTTCATTACCACAAAAAGAAAACCATACTCATTAGCAGTCACTTCCTACTCTCTTCTCCTCCCTTCCACACCCAGCCCTAGACAGCCCCCTTCCAATCTACTTTCTGTCTTCATAGATTTGACTATTCTGGACCTTTCATATAAATGGAATCATACAATACGTCGTCTTTTGTGACTGGCTTCTTTCACTTAGCATAACGTTTTTGAGGTTCATCCAAGTTGTACCATGTGTCAGGGCTTCATTTCTTTTTATTGCCAAATAATATTCCATTGTATGACTATACCATATTTTGTTTACTCACGTGGATGAACATTTACATTGCTTCCACTTTTCAGCTATTATGGATAATGCTGCTATGAACATTCATGTACAAGTCTGTGTGTGGCTGTATGTTTCATTTCTAATACCTATGAGTGGAATTGCTGGGCCCTATGGTAACGCCATGTTTAACTTCTTGAAGAAATGCCAGACTGTTTCCCAAAGTTTACCACCAGCAGTGTTGGAGGATTCCAGTTCCTCAATATCCTCTCCAACTCTTATTATTGTGTGTCTTTTCTTACAGCCATCCCCTTGGGTACAAAGTGGTATCTCACTGTGGTTTTGATTTGCATTTCACTAATGGCTAATGAAGCTGAGCATTTTTTCAGGTTGTTATGGGCCATTTGTGTATCTTCTCTGGAGAAATGTCTGTTCAATTCCTTTGCCCATTCTCTAATGGTGTTGTTCATCTTTTAATTATTAAGCTGTAAGAGTTTTTTATATATTCTGGATACAAGTCCCTTATCAGATGTATGATTTGCAAATATTTTCTCCCATTCGGTGGGTTACCTTTCCATCAACTTGATGGTAATAGTTGCAGCACAGTTTTTAATTTTGTTGTAAGACAATTTTTTTCTTTGTGGCTTATGCTTTTGATGGCATATCTAAGAAACTGCTGCGTAAGTGGAGGCTGCACAACTCTGAATATACCAAAAACTATTGAATTGTACACTTTAAATGAGTGGATTATATGGAATTAATCTCAATAAAGATTTTTTTTAAAAAAAAAAAAAAAGCCAAAATGGCAGAAGAACAAACAGAGAACAATTCAGACCTTGGTATCATTGTTTGATCATCTCTGCACATAAACCAATAAATACTCCTTATTGTTTAAAAATACAGAAAACCCCAACAGGTTCTAAAATTACATCATGGTGATGGTTGTACAACTATGTAAATATACTGAAAACCATTGAATTTTATATATTTTAAGTGAATGAAGCTTATGGTATGTGAACTATAGTTCAAGAAAGCTAGTCTTAGTCATAAATATCCACTCTTATGTTTTCTTCTAAGATTTGTATAATTTTAGCTCTTACATTTAGGTTTTTGAACCATTTTGAGGTAATTTCTAATTAAGAAAGGGGGTCCAAATTCATGTAATTTATTTTATGCTCTTAAAAACATCATTCCAAGAGGGAATTAATAGGCTTCAATAGATTGCCAAGGTGGTCCATAGTACAGAAAAAGAGAAATCTTTGCTGTAGAGATCGGACTATATACTTCTCTGGGCCTCAGTTTCTTCCCCAGTACCATTTGTGGGTAGGATTGAATTGGGAAGTCCCTTCCAGTTCTGTGGTGCCCTTTACTGTGCAGACATTATGGGTGGAGAGCCATTACTCTTTTCTGAAGAAAATGCCTCATGTCTATGACAAAAGAGGTTTCTAAGGTTTTTTGTTTTGTTTGTTTTTTAAGGAAGCCATTGTCTGGCAATCACGGGAGGGTTCAGACAGAGCTCTGTGAAGTGTTTAGGGGGTAGAGGTGACACAATAGGGGAAGGAAATGTTTTCTACTGAAAAGCAGTCAATTACCTTCAACAAGTTGCTAACGAACTGGAAAAAGATTTTTTTTTTTTTTTTCAGCTGAACGGCCAGCTTCTGGAAGGTAAATAGGATGGGCTAGATGAATGGGTGACAAACATCCCCAAATGAGAGGAAGCAGAAGTTAGCAGAAGGAGAGATGCCACGCCTGTGACTGAGCCATCACTAAAGTCATTAAAAGGGAACAAAAATTAGGAAAATACAATCAAATCTTTACTTTTATAATTTAAAAGGTACTTATACAATTTTACAATTGTTATTTCATAGTATTTCCTTTTTTTCTCTTACATTTTAAATATGGTATAAATGGTTATAAGTATATACTGGTTGGGTCTCTTTCAAAATTAAATGATTGTGAGATAAATCAATGGCATTTTTAAAGGCTTTTAGTATCACATTCTATAAGCTATTTGATCATTGTATACATTGTAATTTTTCCTGGAATCTATTTCTACACGGTGGAACTGACAATAATAATTATAAAAAGAAAGCACAACTGTTTACAAAAAATTCCATTGAATATGGAGTTTTAAAGAGATTATGGGATATTCTCCTGAGGTTTGTAAGTTATCTACCCTGAAGCACAGACTAAGCTAAATTCTCCATGTTTTGCAAATTTTGCATGCCCTGTGTTGGCATCCTTTTAAATTTATAATACCACTTCCTTATCAGTGAGGGGGAGGGGGATCCTTTTGGGCTCAAAAGTCAGGACTTCCACTTTTCCTCTGCCCAGCACCTTTTCCTCAGGCTTCTATCCTTTCCAAGAAGCAACCACAATGTGGGGAAGAAGAGTATGGGCAGAGAGGAAAAGGGTCAGAGCTCAAGAGCCCTGCGTTAGTCAAAGGTCAGCATGGAAGGGACCGTCTGTGAGGACAAGGAAGCTGACTTTCTCTTGAGCCAGCTGAACTGGATGGCGGCCAATCTCTGTCTCCTTCCTGGGCCTGAGTGGAGCTCCCCACAGTTCTGCTTGGCCCTGCATAGAGACAAAAAATGCTCTATAGAAATAGGGCCTAGTTTCACCTTTTTAAACGAACAAATCAAGCCAGGTTTCAGCAGAGGGTCAAGGGACAGAGGACAGTGAGGACCAAACTGTTATTTGCTATGTCAGAAACTTCCAGGCTTATTTGGAAAGACTAAAACTAAATAAAAACTTCTTATTAACATAGGACTGGAGTTGTGAAATCTGGTCAAAGGGTTTTATGCAAGGATGTCTTTTTATATGTATACTCTCACGGTGATAGGAAGAAGTAGAGAAACATACAACCTTTTAATTAGGGGAGAAAACTATTGTTTTTCATAAATTCATAACATTTCTTTTGCCAGCAGTTTTCTTTTGACACTAAAACATGGGAATGGTGCTCTCAAGTTTTTGCCCTCTCTTCAACCTGAAAGGGGAAGTAAAATTCTTTTCACAGAAATAAAAAATGCACATTTTAAAAAAGTACATTAAACTAACATTAGATGACTTATTCTAAAACAATCTCTCTCTTTAACTGAGCTTTTCTTCAGATTTCCTAAGAGGAAAAGTTGACGTCTAACTCCATGTGTTAGTTCCTTTTTTGCTTTTGTAAATTTTTCCCCCGCATTTACTTTCTGGCAGAAGTAGTATTTTATTGTTCTGTGAAAATCCGATTGCAATTCACCAGATATCAGTTATTAATAAGGGAACATTAATAATAAGATGATATTAGTTAAGGTAATAAGTTACAAGTAAGGTATGTATAAAACTGAAATAGAGACATTTATGTCCAGAAATGATAGACCTTTATACTCGTTCTGCATTTAGGTGATCTCAGCCTATTTTCTGGAAATGTGCATTGAGTCGTGTGTTTTTCACATGAGAAAAAACCCTGAGGACTAGGTCCAACTGGGAGGAATGTTACCCAAGGTGTCTCTAGACAACATAGCTGGATGAAAAGTCCCAATTTTCATCATACTAGTTGCAAGGAGAAAAGGTCGTGGCACAGAAGACAACCTTGTGCATTTGTGGGCCAGGCAAATGCAGAGAAGCAAGTGGTAAAGCTGCAACCAGAATGAAGATCTGAACAGAGCTAGGCAGGTGGAGAGGGTCAAGGGAAGGGTTTCAATTCTGAAGCCACTAATGTGTGGCTGGCGCCAGAGGGCCCCTTTTACATTGGTTGCTGAGAGAGTTTCTGCTGCTTGGAGTAGCCACCCAGAACTAAACACTGCAAATCAACAGATATATCAGATTTACTTTTATTCTCTCTTTTATATACTTTCTTTTCATCTCAGTGCTGTGTGATTTTTTTATCCTTTCATTCTTCCTTCCATGGGTCCCTGTTGTTAAGCTCCATTCTTTAAAGCTCTAGGTTCCTTTGCATTTTTTATTTTGTTTGCTTTAAGGGCTCTGTAAAAGCTAGCACTTTTGCAGGTTTTTTTCCTTTGTTCATGTAGTCTGATCTGGAAACCAGGACTTTATGTTGGCTTAGATTTCTCAGGTCTCTAATCAACTCTCTGGAAGGTGGAATAGCTTGGCAACAGACATAATAATAATAATTAAAAATAACAGTGAGCACAGAATGAAGAAATGAGATTCAAAAATCAGAAGGAAAGTAACATAGAGTCATAGGCTTTCATCTGAAAATATCTAGTCTGGCCAACTGAGAAGCACCCTTGCAAATCAGTTAATAACATCTATGTGCAGAAAAGCAAAACCATAGGGAAATCTTGCCTCCAAGTGTACAGTTTGCTTTATGTATTACCTTCTGGTGAAATTCCCACATACAAACAAACCTTTGAAAACCCAAGATGAAAACAATGGCTGCCACAAGTAAGATTTCCAACGGCACTCTTAAAACATACAGATTTATTTTTCTGGCACAACTACTTCAGAGAAGTTCTCATTTAATTCCATGCATGGTCATTTTATATCTCCCATGTACATTCTCTTTTGCTGAATCAAAATCTTGTCAATGAGTTATTTTAAAAAATATTTTTAAAAATTATCCACACCTTGAACAGCAGTTCTGCTGTGTGTATACAAATGCTCTGGAAAGGCACAAGTCAGGTATTGGGTGTAGGCACAGGACAAACCGCATGGTCTGCCTTGGCAGCCCTGTTCTCACCTGCAAGCTGCCCACACACACTCCCTTCCAAACGGTGCTCCTCTGATGCCAATTGGCTGACTGAGCTACTTTGGGAGAAAGCCTATGGGAGGGGAGGGGAAGGGAGAGGTGGTGTGGATAAATATTTTATAAACTAAACTTCAAGCTTAAAACTTGATTTACCCTTTCAACAAAATTCACATTGGAAGTCCCATATCTTCTTAAAAATTTTGGACACTGAAGAGTTAAGGGGGTATGGAAGCTGGTGTAGCCTGGGGCTGTCATCCAAGGCCAGCTTGAAAAGGCAGCAGGAAGGGTTTGGTTCTGGCTAGGCTACAGACAGGCCATCTGGATGCAGGGAAGGCCTAGAATGCCAGAAACAGCTTTTCTTTTTGGTGTTAGGCTTCATTAAGTTCAGCCTAGGGAGAGTCTTTTTGGTTTAAGACTCAAACTGAGAGTCTTCTTTGAACAGGGATTTTGATATTTTGAACTTTATACGAAACAAATTCTCATTACATATATTCTTTTGGTAAAGAAAGTCACAAAAAGCAAAGTACACAATTCAACATATTTTAAAAGGATATAGAACAGATTCACTAGACCTATAAATACAAAAAACCCAACAACTATGTGTAGTCTTTAAATAATTTCCCTAGGAATAGATATATCTGGATATGTTGTCTGAAAAAAAATTGTTCTTTATATTGTGCCACTCTGTGACTACAGTGAACAATTGTTCTATTGTTTTCCCTCCAGTTCACTTTTTGAAAGAGCAATTTCACCCCATTGAAATTGCTTTTATGTCTTTAAAAGTACTTTTTTTCTTCATTTTTGTTTTATATTTAATTATACTACACTTGGCATAATGTTAGTGTGGGCCCGTTGTAATTCCTTTCACAGGAAATTTTTCTTTACTAAAATTGAAAAAAAAAAATCTTGCAGGGAAATTATAGCAACTTCCTACTCTATATCACTCATGAACATACACTCTGCTTGGAAACCACCCTCTTTAAAAGATACGATCTGTTCTTCTCTAGCTCTAGCAGCCTGCGTTGGATTTGTATGTATTATTCTTAACAATTAAAGGAAAAGGTGAATGTAAATTCACTAGGGCAAAACAAAGTAGGAAAGAGAAGATTATCCTTAAGAGAATTCTTACCTTAAGGCAGAGAAAATGCACGTATCTTTCAGGGTGGAGGAGATGGGGGGTGGGGGGAAGAGGGTAGATTTTTTTTTCCTCTCCAAGTCATTAATTGCCACCTAGCAGCAGAGAAGGGAATTGCGCACTTAACTTTGGACTTCAATTCTAGAAAACATTGGTTTTAAAGGGCACATTACTTTTATTATGACCAGTATCTAAGGAATTATTAGCCTACTCATAAACTGGGGATTGAGTGGTTTTTTCCTCTCTTGTTGTGAGAAAAGAAATACAACAAATGAAAATTTTTGACTAATTTATAAGATACTCTTTCCATCATAAAATGTCTGTTCTTTTGTTTCTCTGTGGTAAGTACCCTTGCCACCTCAGCAATAGGCCAAAGGAAAAGAAATTCTGAAGCCACCCTGACACTAAAAAAACGCTGGCTATGGCCCAGGAAAGGAAGAATTGCCTGTTTTTAACACAGAAAGCAGTTTCCAGAATAATCTCAGGGTGGATTTCTATAAAAATGAGATCAGAATATATTTTATTTTGGTAGGACAAAAAAGGTTGTTTATTTTGAAAATTAGTCGCCATCTTTTTATAAAAGATGAAATAATTTCCAAACCAAATGATTATTTAGATGTGTTAAAGTAAAGAAGTGTGTCCTTATTTCTAACTTCACTAACCATGTTTTTTATTTTTGTAACAGTCAGCCATACTGAACGCCAACGCGTTAAAGGAAAATAGGTCTCTATTGTAGTGTTTCATAGATCTTGGTAGCTAAATAAAAATAAAACTTTTCAAGAGATTAAAGCAAAATTAATTATTTAGAAGGACTTCAAAAGTTAACAAGTTTAAAAAGAAGGTTCCAGGCTAAAAAGTGTAATTTATTTAAGATACTAGATGAGTGGGGGAGCGGGCTCACTGTATGCTTCTAGTTTGCTACTTTTTATCTAGATAAATAATAGGCATCACTATTATATTGACTATATGAGTATATTATCACTAAGGCAGCCAGCAACATTTTGCAAGACAAATACTGATTTAAAAATAATAATAATAGTCCTAGTTGGTTTTTCTCAGTGGTTAGAGCAGCGGCATGTGAACTGAAGGGTCCCAGTTTGATTCTGGCCAAGGGCACGTACCTCGGTTGCAGGCTCAATCCCTGTGCAGGATGCAACCAATCGATGGGTCTCTTTCAAATCGATATTTCTATTTCTCTCTCTCTCTCCCTTCCATTCTCTCTGAAAAGCAATGGAAAAAATATCCTTGGATGAGAATTAATAATAATAATAATAATTATAGCTAATAAGTATTGAGTATTTACCATGTACCAGGCAGTGTGCTAAGTACTTTAAATGAGAAATTCACTTAGTCATCAAAACAATCATTAAAAACACTAGCCAATATTATCTCTATTTTATAGGTTTAAGCAACAACAAAAGTTCAGAGAGGTGAAATCAGTCATCGAAGGTGTCAGAGCTCATAAGTAACTAAGCTTAAATACAAACCCAGTTCTGTCTTAATATTGAAGTCCCCAGCAGATGATTCTTGGAACTGTTTTCTATCTATTCTCACTCTAGTCTCATGGCTCTAAATAACTTTCTACAATGATGACCTCCAATTTTGGGTTTCCAGCCTGAACCTCTCCACTGAATTCCAACTCATATGCCAACTAACTACGTCATATCTCCATTAGGATGTCTAATAGAATCCCAAACTTTTAATATATAAAACCATATTTATCTTTCCCCTCAAACCTGCTCTTCTTATCTCTCCATTGTCACAGTTCATTGCAATTCCATTCTTCCATTAGCTCAGGCCAAAAACGTTAGTCATTTTGAAACCTATTTCTCTTACATGTCACATACAATCCACTAGCAAAGTACTGTTAGCTCTGCCTTCAAAATATATCCAGAATCCAACTACTTCCTACCATCTCACCATTACAACTCTGGTCCAAGGCACTGTCATCTCTCACTTGGATTACTATATAATTGCCTTGATCTTGTTAGCATGCCTGGCTCCAAAGAGTCTGTTCTCAACATTATCATTTGGTAATCTATTTTTAAAGGATTATCTATCTCCAGATAATCCTTTAAAAATATCAATCATGACATTTCTCTTTTCAGAGCCCTCTAGTGGCTTTCTCTCTCACTCAAAGTGGCCTAGAGGCTCTATACTACCTGCAACCCCCACATTTATTTTTCTCTCAGATTTCATCCCATAACCATCTTCTTTGGGAATTCTTATCTGTTTTGTTTACTGAGATATTCTCAGCATCTTAGTAATAATGCCTGGCATATAGAAAGGTGATTTATAAATATTTGTTGAATGAATGAGACTTATCTGATTCCAAAGCCTATCCTTTTCATGATTTCCTTCCATGCATATATTGGTGACTCTGAATTGACTTGGTTGGCTGGACTCTTCAAAGTGGCTCTTGTATCAAAGTTCCACTTGTGGACCAACAGATGAGACATTTGGTCTCCTGGGGTTTTAGTGGCTTTCATTCCTTTAAGCATGTTTGGCCCAGGGTACACCCTGATTCTTAAGCAGTAATTACAAAATTGATCAATAAGGGTATTTTGCAGGAAGAATAGGTCAGAAAAGCAACACTGCTTCTATAATTTAGAGGCCACTGTTTACTTCTGGATTTTTAAAATTTAAATAAAAATAAATTCTAATAAGAGCCAAGTTAAAATTTTCACATGGGCATGTAATATTCACTGTTACTCAACTATCTAGATGACATTCTGTAATAATTGCCTAATTTCTGGAAAAATATTTCTTAACAACTTAAGTATGCCAACAGCTTTTGTACAGGCCGCTCTTTCAGACCCACACATTGAAGGAGGGAAATTGCATTATGCAGTTTAGATACAACTCTAAACTGTTATTCTTCCAAATTATGCCTATTATTTCCAATCTGCTCTATTCCAAGCTTTAGCTATTACCATTAGAGAACATCAGCTTTTAAACAACTAGTAAAAAAAATAATAAGGTGGGAGTGGATACAGACAAGGCTAGCTTTAGAGTGAGCTATCTAAAGGCTATCAAATATTAGTTAAATAAATTATGATACATGATAGAATACCTTACTATTATCCAGACATTTAAAAGCATGTAATATGAAGAAACATTTGTGGTATAATGTTTAAATTAAAAAGTAGGTTAAAAATAAGCATATATAATTTGATACAAATTTTTGTGGCAGTTTATTTTGTTCAGATATTAATTCTGTGTGTTTTCCTATCCCCCCCGCCCCTTGCCTCCATTCAAGTAGGTATCCAGACCTCAGATTTTTATAAGGCAAAAATCAAAAGCTGCTTAGAAACAACATAAGCTCTCCCTGTCTTTTGAAGTGAGAAAGGGGTGGAGGGTGAAGGAATGCCTTTGAGGGTGAGGTAGAAGAGAGATTTAGAAGTCTGTATCCCGTTGGCTTGGTGAACAGCTAAGACTCCTGTCTTGCTCTGTGACAAAGTGAGGATGGTGGCACAACCTCAAAGAGGAAGGCTGCACCTGGGTGCAGGGGCTGCCAGAATCACTCACTTGATTCCAGATTGTTGAGTTCCAAGGATGGTAAAGGAATATTGGAGCCATCAGACCTAAAGGGAAGATGGCATAAAAGGGAATTTCAGCAGTAAATCAATATGTACAGGTGACCAAATAATTTGATGTAATTCCAGGTACTCCCACAATAATTATGGCCCTAGAAACTTTGTATGATCCTAGATGGAGAGGAAATGCTCAATAATAGTGGAGATTGAATTTCCACCAGCATGCAGGATGGTACCTCGGGTTAGGTTCAAGTTGATCTAAAGAAATGCAGTATTTCTTTCTATGCAATAAGAGTCTCGCCCACAATATGCATATGTACACACAGACAATGTATTACATATTATATGCAATGGAAAATATATTCTCAGGATAATTTCCCTCCATTCTTTAGAGAGATATTGTTGTAGGGGAAAAAAAAAAATCACTAACATTTTAACTGTGAATTTCTCTACCTAGAGGATGATGGGATTATTCTTCATACCGTGTATGCGAAAAAAATTTTAAATAAATGTATATTCCTTTTATAACTGGAAAAGATGATAGGACCAACCGCAAACTGATATTTTCTTATATATCAGAGCACATAGAAAACAGGGAAGGGCATACATCATAACCTCAGGTTCTATTTTCCAGCTGTTTTAGACTTACTGATATTGTTCCTAGAAGTAAAATATACACTTTTCAAGAAAAGATAACAGGTTTTTCTCACATTAAAAAAAATATATATTATATACCTCCTACATCCTATAAAAATTTTAAATATTATTTTATCAGCCAGGGTACCAGCAAGAAACAGATGGCACACTCAAAAGGGGCAACTGAAGGGAGTGTAATCAGAATACGGGCAGGGAAACAATGAGAGATGATGCAGCACCACTGTCAACCTGGCACCAACATGGATAGAGAAAGGGTAATAAGTGCTCTATCTCTTACTGCCTGCTGATCTCCGGCTAGTACCCTCCATTAGCTGAGCTCAACCAAAAGCCAAAGAGGAAGGGACCCTGCTGTTATAATCCATAAAGGGTGAAGTAGATACATAGTGGTAACAGAATATCTAGCATGGTGACATCAAAGTGCAAGCAATTCTAGAATTTTACTGTAAATATTTCCAAATTTAAAGATTTCTATTAGAAGAGTACTAGAAACATAGAGTTTTGGACATCAGTCTTTGCTACTATGTAATATATAGATAAGAATATTCATTATAGCCCCAGCTGGTTTGGCTCAGTGATTAGAGTGTTGGCCTGGGGACTGAAGGGTCCCCGGTTCGATTCTGGCCAAGGGCACATACCTCGGCTGCAGGCTCATCCCTGGCCCTGGTCCAGGCTCGTGCACAAGGCAACCAATCGATGTGTCTCTCTCACACTGATATTTTCCTGTCTCTCTCTCCCTTCCACTCTCTCTCCCTTCCACTCTCTCTCTGAAAAGCAATGGAAAAAATATTCTCAGGTGAGGATTTAAAAAAAAAAAGTATTCATTATAGTAGAGGGGACTTGGAAATAATCTAATCGTCACCCATAATTACGTAAATTATTGTATGTCTACACAGTGGAATACTATGCAACTGTTGAAAACAATGTGGATCATTACTTATGGATATGAAAAGATGGCCATGACTTTTTAAGCGTAGTATTCATGCAATAATATTTATTAAGCACATAGTATGGGCTAGGCATTGTGCTAGGAGCTGGAGAAACACAAGAGAACCACCCATTAATTTAAATCTGTAAATTTAATCCACTAAATTAACAATGATTTTTAAAAATAACTAGGTATTGTTGAACTTAAGGAGGAGGGCACTCATATACTATTGTTCAGAGTACAAATTGGCAAAACATTTCTGGAGGGCAACCTAGCAAAAGCCTTAGAAATATCCATTTCAGTTGACCCTGCAATTGCATTTTTATGAATTTATTCTAAGGAAGGGAACACAGATGTACATGAAAAAATATCTTAAACCGCTCATAAGAGAATTGCTTGGGAGGAGGGGTACCTGAATATTAAACAACAGGGACTTGGATAAATAAAGTATATGTTCAGAAGGCAGACTACTAGGGAGCCGTGTTTAACCTGGAAAATGTTTAACGTGGAAAAATGTCCAACATATATAAGCGAAAAGGTTTAAAAAGAGTGATGCTAAATTGTCCCGAACTTGAGTGAATCACTGAAGTGACCTGAGTGCGTTACTTCCTCTGCAAAGCTCGGGTCCCTCAGGAGCCTTCAGCTCTTGCCCGAGTCGAGGTGCCCACCTTGCCTCCCCATGGAGGAGAGGCGCCCTCGCCGCAGTCGGTGGGCGTTAGGCTGGCAGCTGTCTGCGGAGCTGCCCTAAACGACTTCCCCTTAGGGACTCGACTACAAGAGGCTCTCAAAAGAGAAAGCACATCTTTTGGAAGAAAATGTCCGTTTTTCTCTCAGTGGCCTAGCCTGTCAGGCACCGGGCTCGGTTTTTGAGGGCGCAGGAAGACACGACCGCCCTCCACGAGCTCAAAGTCTGGTGGCAGGGACCTAATAACGGTGACGGAGAGTGGCCCGTGACAAGAGCCTCGACAGAGTCCTCCTTTTAGAAAGAAAAGCGTGCACGCAGACAACGTCCTAGGCGGACACACGGAAAACGGACTCCGACCTGTGGCCTTTCTCGCGGCAGTCTCGTTCTTCTCGCAGTGACACGGCCCCCCAAATCTCCGCGGGCGCTACACGAGAGGCTGAGCTGCCCACCCGGCCGCCCCGGGCCGCAGCTGTCTTCTCGAGCGCTTTCAGGGGCATCCGGCCGGGCCGGGGAGACCCCGGAGAGCACCCGCAGCGCCCAGGTGAATCCCGAGGGGGCCAGAAGCGCAGCTGGGTCCCGGGGGCGCAGCAGCTCCCGGCGGCCGCGGCCGCGGCCGCAGCCGGCCCCGGGTTTCCCGCCAATCTCGGTTCCACCTCCTCCGAGGCCCCGCCCACCTCGGAGAGCCCGGAGCTCCGAGGGCGGGGAAGCGTTGGGCGCCTATCGATCTCTCTGGGATAGACTGCTCCGCCCTGCGCCTCTGCCGTGAAAATGCCGCAGGCTTGCGTGCAGATCGCCGAGCGGTAGATTCGTCAGCGCTCCTCCGTCCGCAGCTTTGCTGGAGCCGGCAGCCGGGCCGCGTCGGAGCCATGGTGCGTTGGGTCCCAAGCCCGGGCAGGGTAGGGGCGGAGGTCCGCTAACGGGCGGGTGGCGAGCCGCGTCTCCTGTCGTCCTCCGAGCGCCCGGGGGCCACGAGGCTTGGAAACCAAAGCCGACGGGAGCGCTCGGCAGTGATTCAGCATCTCCGGCCTGGCCGGGAGAGGGGCGGTCGGGAGTCAGGGGCGGCCTTCCTCGCGGCTTGGTTTCACTTTCTGCCGGGCCTCAGACACTGCCTCTTCCGTGGACTAGCCGAGCTCGCCCTTCGGGTGCCTTAGGTGTAGTAGATTCTGAGCAGCACTGAATGGCCCCTCGTGCTCTGCGTGGGGGGCAGAGAGAGAGAGAGAGGAGAAAATAGGGACGTGACCTGGAGCGCCCCTCCCCCCCCGACTTGCTGCCGGTGCGGCCTCGAGCGCAGGGTTTGGGCTCCTGCCCCGCGTGCATTTTCCTGCTGGGTCCGTCTTGTGCCCCCCTGCCCTAGAACTCGGTTAGAAAAGGCCCTTTTCAGTCACTGGGTCCAGTCGCCTAGTTTTCCCGGCGAGGGACTGGAGGCTGAGAGGAGCCGCGAGGTCGTCGGGGTTCCAGCACAGGCTTCGGGGCTGCCAGCCCTGGACCCTCCCCCCCCCGTGCAGAGTCCCCCGCGTACGCAGCTCTGGTAGACCTGCTCCGGTACCGTGGTCAAAGCAGGAATGGGTCTGTCGCCGGAGCGATCCGGGTCCACGTCTAACTCCCTGAGGACGTTTTTGTGCTTATTTATTCAAAATGAATGTCTAGGTACCAGGCCCTGTGTTGAGCATGGTGAGGGCTCGGAGATGAATGAGACCTAATATAGGGAAGAAAGGGGTGTGCAGGTAAAGAGCTGGTGGTTCGGGGAGTTTTGGAAGAAAAGATGGAGAAACTTCAAGAGGTAGACATTTGAGATAGTTGTTTTTTGTTGTGTTTTTTTTTAAAGGAATGCTTTTGACTATTTATGAAAGCGTGGTATATAAGGGAAGAACGTAAAGATAGGAAGGAAAGTGGGCACGTAGGATCGTAAGTAATTGACTGAACCCGAAAGGAGTGCTGTCTGCGGTCTTTGGTAGGATTGGGGGTTGAGAAGAGAGGGCCGGTCCGGACCTGCTTCCTCTGCCGCCCGCTCGCCCAGGGTAGAGGTAGAATCGGCTCGCAGCTGAGTGCCTGCAGCGGTGGTCTTACAGTAAGGTGGTGTGAACAGCATGGTGTTAATTTTGGATGGGAGCAGATAGGAAAAACTTTTTTAAATGAAAGAGCGAGTTAAGAATTGGGATTTATAATGTTCTTATATTAATAGGTCTTTTTCCCCCCCATTACTTTCAGTTTCGAAACCAGTATGACAATGATGTCACTGTTTGGAGCCCTCAGGTAAAAATGTTTTCTACTCTTTCTGCAAAGTGGCTTTTGGTGGCTGCAGTCTGTTTAGAAACTCACGAGATTGTAGGCTGTGAGAAAATGGAATAGAATCATTTTAGACATTCTTGGGCCCTAAATTTATCATTAAAGTGAGTTTCCTTGTTTTCTAAAAAAAAAAAATCACTTGAGATTTAACTATGCTCACCTGAGTTTTGGGAACTCTAAATTTAAAATTTATAAAATATTTTATAAATATTTTATAAAATATTTATAAAATATTTTAAGATGGCTCTAAGGTATTTTTTTATTTTTTTTCTTTAGGGCAGGATTCATCAAATTGAATATGCAATGGAAGCTGTCAAACAAGGTTCGGCCACAGTTGGTCTGAAATCAAAAACCCATGCAGTCTTGGTTGCGTTGAAGGTAAGTGAGTAAAGCAATAAGTGTGTCTTCCTCTTCTAGAAAATAACTAGCAAATATAAGTTTCACTGTATAGATAATAAAATCGTAAACTTGTTTTTATGTCTTATAATGTCTGTATTTAGAGAGCACAGTCAGAGCTTGCAGCTCATCAGAAAAAAATTCTCCATGTTGACAACCATATTGGTATCTCAATCGCGGGACTTACTGCTGATGCTAGACTGTTATGGTGAGTATGATCATGAAAAACAAAAGAAATACCCCTTTTGATTTATAATTGATACCATTTCTAGAAAAGATCCAGATAAGATATGTTAAGGAGTTCTCTACCAGAGTGTTTATAAGTTAAGATTGTGAGTACCTCAGTGGATTTGGGCTCGATTACTAAGTATTACATTTCTTGATCTCTGTAATAGTTACAAATAGAATGAAGCATCTTAACACTTTTGAGAAATCCCTAAATAATGTGATACTTATTAACTCAGTGTATATTGTTTGAGACAATGTTATGTCTAAGAAGAGCTTGACAACTTTTGTCTGATTTCTAAGAAACAGCCAAACTACTCTTGCTTGCTTTCATACACAAGAACTTACTAGGCATTTATTTTTTGGAAAGCTTAATTCTGGATACTGCAGAGTATACAAAGTTGAATCAGACTTAGATCTTGTCTTTTAGGAACTGCAAATCTAGTAGTATGTCTGTAATACAAGGTAGAAAATGGAGAAGAATAGGTAGATTTCTGTTGGAGTCTAAAGGAGATAAAAATTATTTCTAGTTGAGAGGCGTTGTGTAAGTGAAGAGCTAGGGCTTTGGAATCACACAGATTGAGTTCACTTGCTACCTTTACCACTTAGTGTCCGAGACAGGGCTAGGTATTTAAATTCTAAATTTTTTTAGTATTATCTTTTTCAAGGTTACTGTTAAGTAGCCTAACATGTGGAGGTAATATGTGAGTGTGTGTATTGGGATGGGGAAGTAATAAACCAAAACTAATCTGTTTAGGTCTGTGACTTAATTAGGGAAGAAAGAATATAACCACTAGGGGGAAATAGTAATGCTAATGTTTAAGGTTTTCAAGTTACCCAGTGAACCCCTGCTCTCTTAGGTCAGCAGTATAGTGACAGCATTCTTGGTTTCTGTCAGCTCTTGAAAATGTAAAATATATTGCATTGTCAAACATTTTAATTAACCCAGTCTGTCTAAAATGTCTTGTCAACATGTAATCAATATAAAAACTATCGAGATATTTTATACTGTTTTATATACCAAGTCTTTGAAATTTCATGTGTATTTTAGCGCTTAAAATAATCTCAATTTAGACTAGCCACTGTTTAAGTGCTCAGTAGTCACATGCAATTGGTACCTGCAATATTGGGGCAATGAAGTTTCAGACAGCCTTGGGAAGTGGACTTAAATAAAAGTACCGAACAAACAGCTTGGTTCCTCAGCATTTAATCATCAGATGTGACATACACGTAAATTGGACAAAGCAATGCAGAAAGAAAGGCCGGTACCTGATTATTCTCTTGGCTTTAATAGTTAGGCATGAATTCCCTTTTTCCAAATGTAAGACTTCCTTCAACCTTGACAGGTTTAACTGAGATTCAACAGCCTGGAGTTCAGTATCTCCGCTAGAGTGCCACTTACAGATAGAAGTACCATTGGCAAGAACCATAACAATGTTCTAGTATGGATTCTATTTCTTGCAGTTGCTCTATTGGGGAAATTTTAGCCAGCTTTCAAGAAAAAACAGAGTAGTTAAACTTTTGGCTGGCTCAAGACCTAAAATTCGAGATCATCTTGTTGAGAGTGGGAAGGATAAGAGACGAGGGAATGCATGCTCTTTTTCTCTTGTTCAGCCTTCTCTCTCTTCCATAAAGTGCTCTGGGGTAGGTTTTCTAAAGGAATATTTCTAAAGGAATATTTTAGTGTTTTGTTGTTGTTTTTTAAAAACCTCATGTGCACCCACCACCCCAGAGTTTGGTATAAAAACACATGCTTCTATACCTTTCTGGTTCCCTTATATGAATGTCATCCATGCACATGTCTGGAAGAAAGCAAAAAGAAATCAAGCTGCGTAATTTAGATTTAAATAACTATGATTTGAAATTACTAATTTTTCTCTTTTCTTTTTTAGTAATTTTATGCGCCAGGAGTGTTTGGATTCCAGATTTGTATTTGACAGACCTCTTCCTGTGTCCCGTCTTGTGTCTCTAATTGGAAGCAGTATCCTTTTTATGTTAGCATTTTGGACATGAACTTTAAAGAATTTTGATACTTAATCCTTATGTTAGTTATTAGGAATACTATAACATATAACAAAGGTAAGATTGTGTGGAAAGGTTAGTTACTTGTCAATAACAGAATGTTTAAAATTTGGAAGGAGAGTTACGGGAACTTTTACCATGGAAGAACGGGTTCTAAAATATGGAACTGGTTTGCTCTTTTATCACCCCTTATAAACAATTGATATTTTGCAGACATAGATAAGTTCAATTTCAGGAAAACTAACCAAGCATCATTTTTAGAGGAGATTTAAAGTTTTTTATTGGAGGTTGTAGATGCCCCCCCCCAAAATCATTGACTGCATATATCAAAAACAAATGAGGTTCTCTTCATGGGAGGAAAACATTTTATGAATAGTTAAACATTTTTTGGTGGATAGTTGAACAATTTTTAGTAGTAAGCCAAAGAAATACTGCTCTGTTTGTTTTCTTCTTCCTATGGTGGATTATACTGCAATGAAGAAATTAAAATTCTTTGTTAATAATGTTTAACTTGAAAATAAAGATAGTACTTTATTCCTTGTTAGAACAGGCTCTTTAACTAGTTTAAGAGACCCAGATACCAACACAAAGATATGGCCGAAGACCGTATGGTGTTGGACTGCTTATAGCTGGTTA